ATTTTCAAATCTGATCTGCAAAATGTCATTTCATACCTCTGATTTTAACAGCACCTTTGAACAACCTGGTTTAGTGTGGAAGGTGTCCCTGCCCATGGCAGGGGGTTGGAACTGGATGAGCTTTAAGGTCCCTTCCAACCCAAACCAGTCTGGGATTCTATGATTCTTTCTTGACCACTTCAATTATTTTTTTTTATTAAATGTACTATTTATAATTCCTAAGGCAACAAATACAAGTTAATGCATATAATATAGTCTGACTATATAATAAATAAATATAATAATCTGACTATAAGCTTCTGTTTCATGATAGAAGTAGTATTTGTCCATATAGTGAAGGAGAATGTGCTGGCCTTAAAGGAAAAAAAAACCCCATGTGAATCCAATTTGTCATGCATATCCAGTATTTCCCAGAAAGCTCTTCCAACTTTCCCTTGTGTTGTGACCCCAAAAAGAATAGCAAGTGGTTAGAGCAGCAGACTGCAAGTTAAAATTGGACAAATTATTCTATAATGAACCTCCTAAAGAGCACGTGTCACCATTCCTTCCATTAACATCCTTCTCTGGAATACTTTTTCCTGTGTACGGCATAATGAGGAATAACTGACTCTGAAACTACCTGGTTATACCGATGGCTGTTGTAAAATTTCACTTACAGTCCAACTTGAAAGTGCCTTTGAGTGTACATGAGACTTGTGGCTGGCACTCTGATTCAGGCACAGCAATGAGGCATGGTGGAGAGGTCTTGTCTCTCCTTTGTGGATGAAAACGAAAGAGTGCTTTGAATATTAGGGCTTAGATGAAATAAAGATGTTGAGTAAAAAAAGGAGATTGGGATAAAGCAACCCTTATTACTTGACGTTTCTGTTTGCGGTTTGGTTGGGTTGGGTTCACTCAACTATCACCTGATTCCTGCATTTAGTGTTTAGTCCTAACTTGTCTGCACTTGTGCAGGTCTTATTTTAAACTTGTTGGTTGTTTTTCCTTCTTTCCTCAGACCTTATTTCAGTCATAGCCAATGACTAGGAAGGAGCACAGGAGATTTTAACACTAGTGTGCTGGTAAAGTGCACTCCAGTTATCTTTCATGCTATTGGTGTTCAGCTGCTTGGCATGTTCAGTATTTATCTCGACTGTTGTATTGGGCAAGCTTAAAAATCACTCCTTTCCTTATCAGTAAGCAGAACATGGGGGCCCTGATCTTGCTGCAATTCTGTTTTGTTTATAACCCTCCAACAGAGTTCATGTTTTCTATAAGGTTCGTACAAAAACTTAACAGCTTTGAGTCAAGCCTTTCATAGCAGCCACAGCAGCATGACTGATACTTCCCCACAGCTAGAGTACTTCCTATATCAAGCTCAGCTTTTACTTCCCCAGACTGGTGCTGGTTGTTTTTAGGTTATTTAATTCTCAGCTTCTCCTTATGCATTTGTTAAGAACTTCTGTACTTAAAAAACATACCAAATCCTGACGTATTTAGTCTGTCTTTGGAGGAACTTGATTATCACATGATGCTTGGAAACTATAGAAAGGATATGTGGATTTATTGCTTTGTTCTGAATATATATATATATAGCTATATAAGTAGTTTGGAGCATTCAATCCTTGTAATTGTACTCGCAAGGTATTTACTAATAGAAGTCAAGAGGATGTGGACAAAAAATGGATGGCCTGGAAGCCGGGTGTGTTGGGAACTCAGCTTTTGTATGTTGCATGTTTTCTCAGCACTATGTAGTAGTGTGGCAACTCGCTGCTTACCAGTGTTGCCTGTGGACTTTGAACTTCTGCACAGCCATGCTGGGGGCTGTCAGGAGGGATAGGAGCACATCAGGATGGGAGCTGGAGAGTTACAGTGGTAGGTTGGAATATTCATAAAGGTGTCTACTACCCAACTATTTTAGGCTTATAACTTCAATCTTAAATAATGAAGCACTCCTTCTGTTTAATAACAGCATGAAATAATTTTATGCTGGTGCATTCTCCCAGGGTTTATTTTTAAAAGCTTTTATTTGCATGGGAAAGCTTATCCACTGGCAATATCCCTACTCCTGTACGAGTTGTTCCAGATTGCAATGTAACTGTTAGCTATTGCATATGTACGTGAGAAATACTACAGCAAAAATGAAGATATGAGCAAATTCAGGAAGATAAAATTAGGATGGGGAGGTTTTGTTTGTTTCCTTTGACATTGGCTTTGAAAGACACTGTGGCTGCTATGGCAGTTAAAATAATGGGTGGGATTTTCATGGTTAATTTGTTAGCGATCACAAGTACTCCAGTTCCTTTGGAAAGAACTTCCTTGTGTATTTATTCCAGTGGGATATTCAGTTCCATAACACTAAACTTCCTGGGAGTTTAGTTGGAATGAGGTAATCATCTTATGAATTTGTGGTCGTCTTGTTTCCTAAACTTGGCATGCATCAGTTAAAGACATGGGTATCTTTCCATAATAAACAAAAGTATTGAGTTTGTCTTAGATGTAGCATGACAGAGAGCATGGAAACTATCAAGTCGCAGGTCTTTGTGATTTATTGATTATTTGTGTGTATATGAAGGCTTTTCCCCTGCTGTTTGGTGGGAATTCCAGACAAGTGTGAAAGAAGAAATAAAATGTATGCAAATGCCAGTTAGATGCATAAAGAAATGTATGAAAATATGAAACTAAGTGGTAATTAAATGTGTGGTTTTGCTTCTAAATCTATACAAATCTCATAGTGCCTTTATGCCAGTATGAAGTCACGCAGTTTTCGCAACCATTTCTCGCTGGAAAAAAGGGTTATTGCCTGTAGGGATGTAATAGAAGAAGATATTTGTGAGTGCTGGATATTTGTCTGTAACCTTTACATGAATCACTTGCTAAAGGTTAAAATAAATAAATATGCCTTAATCCTTTCCCGTGAAGTGGGTAGCAATTGTCCAGGCAGAGCCAGCCACAGTCCTGTGGGGCTTTTTGCTGCTTTCTGTGAAATACAGCCCAAATGCTGAGTGAGGTGGGGTAGGGGACTGCAGGGGCTGTGCTGGCCTGACACGGTTCAGCGATGTCCCCTGCTGATTTAAAAAAAAATATAAAAAAAATCCATGTGATGAGACTGCAAAACCTGTTCTCCTGGGTGTAGGTCTCCTCCCTCACTCTTGTTAACGTCTGTCATAGTATATCACAGGTCTTGGGTGTTTTGGGGATATGAAGCTGAGCAAAGAAAGGCTTCGGGGAGTAGATAGCTTTAATAATTGGAGGCTACATGGTGCATGTAGGGAGGATTTTGAAGTGACAATATCAAACATTAGCTTGTTTATGTAATATTGCTACACAATGCATTTTCTACAAATACTGAACTTCGTAATCACAGTAACGTCTGCCTTTTAAGTCCTACAAAGAAAAGGGTAAGGGGTGGAAGTGACTTACGAGGGAGGGAGACAAATTTGTAGCACTCCAAGGTAAGAGTATGGTCCAGGGAAGAGCTGCACTGAGCTACAAGTCTCCTTGAACCTTCAGGAAGCTGTAAATATCTTTTTAAGACCAAAAGCCGTAAGCTGACAGAAGGGAGATTTAGATTAGACATTAGGAAGAAGCTCTTCCCTGTGAGGATGGTGACACACTGGCGCAGGTTGACCAGAGAAGCTGTGGCTGCCCCATCCCTGGCAGTGTTCAAGGTCAGGTTGGACGGGCTTGGAGCAACCTGGTCAAGTGGAAGGTGTCCCTGCCCGTGGCAGGGGGTTGGAACTGGATGAGCTTTAAGGTCCCTTCCAACCCAGACTATTATATCCTTTTATAAAGTGTAGCATGTGGGGGAAGCTGCTGGTGGTGGTGAGCATCACCAGGGATTTGTTCTTGTGATAGCATGGAATTTCCCAGGTGAAACTCCTAATGGTTCCTAGCAAGCAGAGGGAGCCTAACCCCAATGTGCTCACTGTCCCTGCCTGACAAAATGAGAAATCCCTGCTGAAGCAAAAGCTGCCCTAGTGTTTGTGCATTTTTTTTTTTTTTTTCTTTAAATGCAGAGACCGTGGCTGTGCTGTTTGGGCACTGCTGTCTCTGACAGCAGGAGGAAGCAGGTAGTAGCTTTTCTGTGGGAGGGAGGAGGTCCCAGTGCCATGTGTACTTTGCTCAGGACTTTGGCACAGTGGGGCTGTGACGGGACGTTCAACTGATTGCAAATGAGCGCTGGGGATAGCAGGCACGTAAGTAGGGAGCTGGAAATCCGGTGGGGTTCAGACCCTCCAGGGCCTCTTCTGGCTTCATTTTCTGGGTTGGAAAATAGGGAATTAGTGGGCATGCTGAAAGAAGTTTACCTTGTCCTGCCTGCTCCTGTGCCAGGACACCTTCCTCCTGCCCAGGCCTGTCAGCGTCTTTAGGCTCCTGCCATGGAGATGGAGGTGTTTCCTGACCTAGGCCTTGCTAATCATCATCATGAAGACAACACAAAACCTGGGACCCAAGTCCAGGCTCAGCTGGATCATCTCAGCAGGAGTTTTCATTTGGAGTGACAGTCATAAAAGGCTTAAAACTCTGTTCAACTTTCTTTTACAATGTCCTCAGTATGTCCTTTTCCCAAAATGTGGTTGCTTTTCATGTGTGGCTATATTTCCCTGTTGGGGGTTCTTTTGGGGCTGGGTAGGAGGAAATTGAAGCAAATGCTGACGTTGCACAAATATAACAACTTTGGTGCTTTGATCTTGCAAACAAAATAATGCTGTTCTTGCTTCTCTTCTTAGGATGTGCCTAACAAAAATGTTGCTTGTCTTAATGCAGAAAAAACCAAAGCTATAAAAGCTTTACTGAAGCCTACCTTAATTTGACTCTAAAATGCCTTGCTGTATTGCTTTGTGCAGACTAACCCCCTTTTTACTTGCAAATCTCTTGCCACTGTGAATTAAGTTGTGTATTATGCAAATCTCCCTTTCAGTTATTCTTTTTTTTATACCTTGATTTTGAATCTTTCCTTTAGATCATGGCTTGCATGACATTTTCTTTCTTTTCCTTTCTTTTGGCTGTTTGCAAAGACTCTTGGGAGGATTTGACAGATGTGGTGGAGCAATTGCGTGATGATACTGAAGGTGCGTGCCACGCCAACGTCTTTCAGCTATTATTTCCACTAATGATTGGCTTTTGCCTTATGATTTTGAGCCTGAGTGCAACGTACAGTTTGCCAGTGCCAGTGGCTGGGGCTTTCTGAACATGCTTGTCTGGTTGAACCAGGTTCCCAGCCAGAATGTGTTGTACTAGTTGCACTCTGTGTGGATGGTTGGTTTCTGCTGTTAGAGTATTAAACGAAATGCCTTTGATCGCTCAAGTCTATGCATTGCTCTTGATATTGTCTCACTTTACATTTAAAATGGATATTGTGAAGGCTTTTCTTATTTTTATCATCCCTTTCAGGGGTTCCATGTGATCAATTTTGGCTTCTAAATTCTTATTGATCTCTCTTTTGAAAATGTGTGCATATAATATTGCTTAAAAATACGTTTCAAAAATGTTGGGGTATTGTGACTTCAAGTAGTGGTAGAAAAAGTGAATCAACAAGAGGCTAGTTTACTTATATCAAATGCTTTCTAAGGCAATGATTTTTCTAGGCCTGATATAAACACAACTTAAAAGGTTGCAGCAATATATGGAAGCTAAATTGTAAAAAGATATTTCAGAAATCACTCCAAAGCTTTAGATTTTCTGAAATATTTCTATGGATCAACTCCAGACTTTGCAACAGTGACTTGGAATTGCAAATTCCAAAACTTGGAATTGCAAATTTTGGTTAAAACTTGTCAAGTACTCAATGAGATGATTTTTTCATAGTGCTTCTTGTTTCATAAAAATGGTGAAGAAAAAAACACCCCCTATTTCATGAAGTAGTTGAATCTCCAATTCAGCATTCACTCAAGTAAATTTGTAATCTGATGACAAAACAAAACTCTTCATGCTTGGGATGGAAGTGTTTCCAGCACAAAAGGCTAATACACCTTTGGGAGGCAAAGGACTTACTCCTTTTGTGGCTGGGAAGTTTTAAGTGCTCATTGCCAGGAAGAACGTAGATGAGGGTGTAGAAGGATGGTTAGGGTATTTGTCTATACAAGCCAAATGATTTAAAATGGCAATCTCAAATTAGAAGCTAAAGATAGGGTTCTTGATGTCTAAAAGATTTATGGGCAGAAGTACTGTTAATCTCACACTGATAATCCTAAATGAGTAAAGTCAGACATTGCATTTCAGCTTTTCTTGCCAATTAGTGCATGGAGTGTTTTCAGAGGTGTTGTGGATTGCAGATCCCATGGTGGCACTCTTTTTAACAGTGCTTTACTCGGTTTGGTTTAATTCTCACTGATAGGATGATAACCAAAAGCTGCATTTGTTTCTTTATAGCACAGATAAGCACTTTAAACATGAGGCATGGAAAAGCCAAAGAGTGAAATGGAGTAGGCTTATGTTATGGATTCAGGGTTATAGATAGAGGGTAAAGTATGAGCAACACCATGAGGGATACATCTGTCTTAAAATATGTAGTTGTGATTACTGCTAGAATAGTAACTGATAGTTAAGAAAAGTAATGCAGATAGGTTTGGGACTTAAGAAAAACCTTCCTGTGAACATAATTTTAAGTGTGTTTCCCGCAGAAGAAAAAAGCAAAATCAACCATGACAAAAATTTATTTATATTTGGAAACTTGGGTGGTTTAGATCTTTTTTCAAGAGGGTGTGTTGTGCACAGAAGTTAGTTTTGATTGATTAACTGCATCTTTGGCTGGTCATCTTCTGTGGATGGTGCCTTTCTTAACTGTTGCGCCTAGTTAAATGCCTGGACTTCTGCCTGGTGGCCTCGTAAACACAGCAGGCTTCTGAACAGCCATGGAGATGTTCTTTCCTGGCACAACAGCTAATTCACAGCAGCTCCAGCTCATGACATCTCCAAGGCAGTCTTTATGGGATAAAAAAAAGAAGGGGGGAGGGGGTGTTTGAGACTTTTTTTCTTTTTCCATAAGTCACTGTGCAGATGTTTTGTATTTATTTTGCCAGGGTGGGACACATTTGAAATGTGTGTCTTGGCTGTTTGTGCTTCTATCATTGTTTTCCATGACCATTCTGTTTTTTTTTTTAAACCTCCACATGCTGGTGTGTGTGGGAACTGTCCTCCTTGGTGACTGATCAGAGACTGGTGGATGCTTGATACAGACTGGGATTTCCCCCTCAAAAGTCAATATTAAGGACGTAATAGCAAGGACAACTGAAGCAGTGGTGAGGCACTGGCACAGGTTGCAGAGCAGCTGTGGCTGCCCCATCCCTTACAATGTTCAAGGCCAGGTTGGACGGTTGAACCCCATGGCAGGGGGTTGGAACTGCGTGAGCTTTAAGGTCCCTTCCAACACAAACTGTTCTGTGATATGCTTCTGTGAAAATGCTCCTTCTCTTAAAGAAATCAAATTTTATTTTGGTAAGGTGATCTTAGTCCCACTGCTTTCCTCTTCACTGTCAGTCCCTCAGAGAAGACAGGTTGAATTTTGAATATAGAAGCAAAACATTTGTAGACTTAAACATATTTGTGTAGAAACAGACGTGCTTCTGCTTTTCACTTGTGAAAAGTCATGTCATTTTTATTTTTATTGCCCTTTAAGAAAATGCTTGCATGACACAGAACATGCATCACCCCATCCTTGCGGGCTTGGGGGCTTGCATTGCTGGATGGCAGACAAGGCGTTTGGATCTGAGGGAATGTCAGGAAATAGAAGCAGCTTAAAAAATACATAATGATATTGAACTCCAGTTTAAATTATGACAGTCCTTAATTTATCTAGGGATTTCCTTTCCACATTTATTTGAAATTGTACATGTGTTCATGATTACGTAGTGTGAGCAGCTGGAACTAATATCTTTGCTGATGTGAATTGGCTTAACTGAAACTCAGTGCACTGTAGATAATGGCCTGGTTTGTTTTGAAATCAAGTCTTTGCCCATTAACATATCTCAGTTAATGTGAAAACAGTATGAACTGCTTGCAGGATGTCATTTCTCTTTCATGGACAGAAGCAGCCTTTCTAAATTTCAGGCGGCTTTGTGTTCTTGATTGAGGATAGATTCAGTACATGGAGCACCTTGCTCAAATACTAATTAACTGGCATTACTTTGAGTGGATTTGTTCACATCTACAGTGTTTCATGACTTTCTGCATTTGATCAAAGTTCTAGTTTTATTCTAGTTTCTTAATTCTTTTAGAGTAATCTAGTGATAAATTATTGTTAGCAGGTGAGAAGTACTTAGACCACAGTTGCAGCTTAATCCTTTGAGATCTAGTTTTGCATTAATTTTTTCCTTGACTTTTAGGTTCCTAGGTATTTTAGAAACCTGTGACTTCAGTGTTTTAAGGAAATAGATAAGCTGATTGGTTTACCCTGTCATCTTAGTGGGATGCAAGTGCAGTTCAGTCATGACTACTTACATCCCATGTAGTTAGAAAAAAAATTCTGTTCTGTAGAAGCTACAATATCTAAACAGCAAAGTGTCTTAAGAATTTAAGATTCTCAAAACCAAACTACATTGACAGGCAAAGTTTAAGGGCCAAGATTTTACTTTTTAATGTTTTTCAATATTGCATGTATGGTAAAACACAGGCAGAGGTTTTGCAGTTGGAGGCAGCAAGAGATAGTTGGGGAAGATCCTGACACAAACAGAAATTCTCAATTGCACATCAGGGTCCAACTTCTCAAAGCAAAAAGTGTTTGGTTGAGTTAAAGCTATTTGGGTAGTGTTATTGTGTAAAAGTCATCTTTGCTTGCTGTTTTAAAGCTGTATATGTTGCAGTGCACATAATGGTATAAATTACTTAGTATTTAATTTTTGGAATAAATCTTTGTGATTTTATCCTGTTTCATACTATGTAACAGTTATTTGGTTTGCAAGATGACAATCTTGGATAAGCTGCATGTGCAGAGCACCATCGTTCACAACAGACTGATGAAGTAAAAATCTTTGATTAGTGCATGTGATGATTCTTTAGACTGTGATTGCACATTTTGGTCTTAAATGAAAGCATAGCCATATGTTTTATTAAGGTAATGATGTGCAACAGTCACAGACCTCTCAGACTCATGGAAAACCATGTGCCTTACCTTAAAAAGCATGCCTTTGACCTCAGCATAGATCTGTGTGGGGCAGCAGCTCTCCGTACTCTTAAGAAATACGTATGGTTTCCGGTGAGTATGTAATGGAGTAGGACACTGACCCTGAGCAGTGTCCTTGGACTCTGCCATAATTCAAATTAGCTAATAACTAGAGCTGAAGTAATATTTCTAAACAAGAAAAGCATAATTTTGTGACAGTATTTGTCTGCAGTAGGGGCAAATGCCACAGTTGTGTTCATATACTCTTAAAGGTCAGCTGTGATAGATGCTGTTGGAGGTGGTTGCCATTAGTTTTATCCAGAAGTACACAGAAGACTGTTTCAATTGCGTGTACAAAAAATACTTTTTGCAAGTACTACATCTGACTTGTTTTTCCTGAGTCTGCGTTCCTAGTAACGGTGACTGTTAGCCTTGTTGGAAATCATAACATGGATTGCAAATCACAGAACAGGTAATCTGCTTTATGTACGTGCCAAATCTGTTGGCTTAAAATAGTGTTAGTTCTGCAAAGGCAATAAAAATCACCCGCTAAATGAAATCTTACTACAGTCCAGTGCTTCTGTGAGAATTTCATTCCCAAAGGAGTACTTCAAAGCTTCCTAAATGATGAAAATAATTTGGGATTGCCTAATCTCAGCCTTTTTATAAAATGTGAGCTGAGATAATCAGCGCCTGAAGAGTGTAGAGCTAGTAAAACAGAACACTTAGGGGGTTTTGACCACTTTGTCCCTCAGCAATGGAAGATTGGATGGAGATACAGCAACAACTGGACTTGTTTGCCAGTTCCCCGGACCAGGAGGTGTTTGTCCATGGCAGCAGGTTTGGCCTGGCACACAACTAAACTTGCAGCTGTCAACGGGTGGCAATTCCAGCTGGCATTGCTTAGCGCCGGCTGTACTTTCCCCTTCTCCAACAAACATCTCCCCTCCTTGAGCTGCTTGGTGCGGCTCTAATGGAATTTAGAGCAGGAGACTTCAGGTCCTGCTTTATCCTGGAGAAGAAAGGGGACCATCTCACCTCTACACCGTGGGTTTTTTCACAGCCCTCAGCTTCAATGGGTGCTATGCGTACATGGGTGTTAGTGGTGTTGCCACAGTGCTTGGTCTGAGTATTTTTTCCAAGTCATCAGCAGCATCCCCAGTAAAACAGCCTGTCCTCTGGCAGACAGGCCACCCAAAACTAAGTGGCAATAATGAGACCTTGCCTGCTGTGGAGCCGTGGAATGTAACCATGGCATGCTTCAGGGGCAGATTCGGCACATCCCCCTTTGTTCCCAGGTTTCACGAATGCTGTCTTTCAATTCCCTTTCATAATTTCTCACGTTCTTTGATTGAGGATGTTTGCATTTCCACTTCAGTAGTTGCTTCTCGTCTCCTAGCCCTGAGGTGCCTTTCAGTGTCTCCTTCTGTCTGGCATAAGGAGTCTCAGTCTAGTTGCTCTTCTTGCCTGTTTTGGGTTCAGCCATAGGTTACCAAATCAGATATTACTCTTATCAGCTACAGGTTGCTGGGCCTACAGTGCTTTTCAACCTGCAGGAGACAGTGAAGGCTGGAGGTGGGAACAGTGAATTTTCATGGTTCTATGAAGTGTTGCTCCTTGCTCTCCTTATGGCTAGTGGGTGCTGCCAAGATGCCTCACTGCAGTGGCACTAGGTTTGAGAGAACAAGGAGTTTGTGTTTGAGCAACTGGACTTGTCAGTATCAGCATCACGATGAAGCAGGATGATGACTTGCATCAATAGGACAAGTCCTGTAGGAGATTGCAGTAGTCTCAGAAGAATATACCCCTTGCCCTCTTCTGCCTAGGTTGTTGCTTTTAAAATTGCAAGCTATTGTTCCTCACACTTGTATTGACAAGAGAATGAGAACTGTTAACAATCCAGATGTCTCAAGTCTACCTGCCTAGTAGTGATTTGATGTATACTCGGTGGCAAACCTGCTGAAAGCAACCCCAAACTTCTGCAGGACTTCCCCTAGGGAATTATATCTAGTTCTTCAGTCTCCAGTGTTTATTTGCTTTACTTGTTTGCTACATGCAAGCATGCTTTGTCAATGCAGCAGATAATGTGTACCCTGTGCTTAGATACGTAGTCTCAGATGTCCTCTTGTCATATTTTTGCTGCTAAGTGTAGTGAATTCACTCATGAAGGTGGCAAGTTGGCTCAAGGGTCCATGGCTGTTTAGAGAATAAATGTACCTTACAGGGATGAAACTGCTTGCACTGAAGAGCTTCAGTGCAAAAATTGGTTGTGAGATTATCAGGGAAAAGATAGAAACAGAAAACTTACAACTGATGCAACATCATTTTAGGAACCAGGGGACAGCACTGTTGTAAGTAAGTATCTTTCCTGAGGTGTTGGAATTGCACTGATGGTGTTTGGGAAGAGAGGATAGGTGTTGGTATAGGCATGTTGTACAGGTCCTGGAGCAGAAGGCCTGAAGGCTGAGAGTAGATTGGAAAATGGATGTCTCTATTTATTTCATGTGATGAAAAGCAACCAGCAAGTACAAAGGCCTAAATATTTATCATGTGGTAGAGAAAGAATATAGTCTTGGAGGATCTGTCTTTGTTGGCAGTGAGCTGGCAGAGGAGCCATGAAGATCAGCTCCTTATTGACAGGGGTAAAACTGAGTAGTGTTGATAAAATGAAGAGAGAGAGGTGGGAATAGGCTCCATGTCACATCCAAGTTGGAAAAAAGAAATTGTGAGCAGGAAAGATGCAAGACTGGGTAGAGACACACTGCTGCATTAAGTGTGAGTTGATTAATGGTTACTGTTAGATAGAAGAAATACTGAGTTGAGAATTCTTACCAGTTTGTAGTTGTTGGACGTAGCTGGAGATTTGAGTTGGAACAAGTGATAGGCATAACATTCAGTAACATGTCATCAAGATGTAAAGCACTTGATGGTGCTTTACATCTGCAGTTAATTAACAGCAGTCTTCAAACTTTTCTATCTTAAAAATGTAAAGCTTTGGTAGTTATTCGAAGTATTGAAGCACCCTTAATGTGATATATTGCTTATTCCCTTGTCATTGTGGCTTTGGCCAAAAAATGCTAGTTAATTTTGATTTTTTTGTTTTCTACAAAAAGGCCTGAAGAAAGTGCCTCATATGAAACTGTCACTGCCCCTAAAAATATCTTCAAAATTGAGGAACAAAAAGAGAGAGATGGGGTATCTTACTGTATTAAAAATGGCTTTTGTTATTTGACAGTATTTTTCTTCCCCCCCTCCCTTTTTTTTAATAGATCCTAACTATCTCATGGCTAATGAACGCATGAACCTGATGAACATGGCGAAACTGAGTATCAAGGGGTTGATCGAATCAGCACTTAATCTGGGCAGGACGCTGGACTCTGACTACGCACCTCTCCAGCAGTTCTTCGTTGTGATGGAACATTGCCTTAAGCATGGCCTGAAAGGTAACCTTGCTTTAGAGGAGTCCTCCAGGCTGTTTGTCAGAGCATAGGAGTGAGCAAGAGAAATCTTCTTCTAAAATCTAATTTTGTAATCTTCAATAGGCTAAAGAGGGGTGGACCAGGGTCACCTCTGTGGTCACAGTTGACTTGTGAGGCCATAGGAAGGGAGAAAAATCCCCCAAGGTGTGACACTGCGGGTGAAAAGTTCACAGTTGTTGCAGGAGCTTGCCATTTTTAAACCAGCTTTTCTGATGATTTGAGTACAACTAAATTACCAGTGATAAAAATAGCTCCTCAGCAACCTCATGACTCCCTTTTTGTCTGTGGAGAAGGAGCAGGTTCCAAGTGGTGGTGTAGTCCTTTTCCTTGTAATGTGATGGTCAGTGAGAGAAAATGACTGCACGCATCAAGTGTAATGTAGAGGTAGTGACAGCATCCTAGTAGAAATTCTGACCTCTAGCAGTGAGTCTTAAGTTGCTGGGATTTCACTGGATGTTGTTGTTTTGGCATACTGGGGATGTGTGGAATATTTTCTGGCATCTGTCTTGAGCTCCTGTTGCCTTATTTGAATGATACCAGTAATTGTCACACTTGGGCAAAAGAAGTCATCTTTGGTACTTGGCCAGCAGCAGGCCCAGAAGAATCTTTCTGGCAGTCTTTGTCTACTATTTCTTCTGACCATGCCTAATGGTCTCTTTTTACATTATCTTCTCTTGTAGCCAAAAAGACATTTCTTGGGCAAAACAAGTCATTTTGGGGACCTCTAGAACTAGTAGAAAAACTTGTTCCTGAAGCTGCAGAAATTACAGCAAGCGTTAAGGATCTCCCAGGGCTGAAGTAAGTACAGTCTTCTACTGCACAAGTACATATGTTTTTTTATTGTAAGAAGGATCCTGAAGAAGAGAAGGAGGGGCAAACATAACCTTCATGAACATACCTGCCATCTTGGGCTGATAAAAATAGATCTTCACTCTCTTTTTCTTTATCAAAGATCTTCAGAAGGAGAGCGTAGGATATACTCCTTCAGTGGGGTCTTATGGAGAATAGTGAATTTATTACTAGCACTAAACCAGTGGCCATGTGTCTTAGGGCTGGGAACAGCCTTTTCTGACTATTTCTGAAGTCAAACTGAAGAGGAAGGGAATTGGAAGGAAGGTGATTACAGGTTAAATAGTTCTGAGGCTGATAGACAGAGGTAATTTTTCTTCTAAATAAATTCAGGTAAACTTGTAAAGTTTGTGTAAAAGAGAAGCTCAGCACGAAGTTGGACAAGATACTAGCTTGTGTTAAAGAGAGGAGAAAAAAAACCTACCCAAAACATATATTGCTTTTAAAAATTTCATAGACATTTCAGACATCACATTCAGGTTTGATTATTCCATGCTAAAAAAGAAAACTTTAAGAGGCTTTCGGCCTGGGAATAGAAAAAAGATGCAAGGAAGCTTTTGTATGAGCAGCAGGACTAAGGGTAAATCTTTGCTGAAAGAAGAGATGAATAGATTCAATAACAGCTTCTTTCGGGTTAGTATTTAGCAATGTGCATATGGACAAGTGCTTTTACTGGAGATCTGTGCAGGACTCTTCCTGGCACATCTGACAAGACCAGCGTGCAGTGCCAGCAGTGTTGTGCCAGAGCTCCTCTAACTTTCCCTATTGTAAAAGAATATTAAAACATGAAATAAATTGAACTAAAGAACAATTCTGGAATTAAGTGTTGAAACCTTGGATTCATACTAACCCTTGGGAAGTGTCATGTCGTGTTTTAGTGAGGTCAAGAATGGGGAGTAATGAAGATGCCTTTCATGCGCAGTTGCTGCTTATTGCAATTAAGGTTAGAAAATGAAGTGCCCCACGTGCTCCTTGGTGTAAGACAGTTGACTGACTGCTGGAGGTGGAAAAGAAATTTCCTTCTGATCAGCTCAATGGGGGGGGGGGGTTTACACCTTCCTTTGGAGCAACTGGTGCTGGCTTCTGGCCAGAGCTGTGATGCAGCGTATCAGTTGTATTTTTAAAGCTGTATGCTTCAGATTGCCAGGAGAAACAGAGGGGGGAAGGACTGTGTCGTAACCCATTGCACCCTGTGAGTGTGTTGAGCAAACTAGTTGAAAAGAACATTACTGAAGTTGTGTTTTCCATTGTCTTTGTGGATTCTCACTCAACTGAACACCTACCTGAAGGAGTGGTGCTTGGGCATTGGTGCTGAACTGAAGTATATACATTATTCTGACTTGCCTTGTGCAAAACTGATTTTGAATTAGGTGGTGATGTGTTGAAGCAGCTGATCTCTGTGTAGTAACATCCAGCAGCGATAAGTCAGGGAAATATTTTTAGTATAACAAAAAGTGCATAATTAGTTATGAGAGAAGCAGTGATTGCTTGAAGTAGTTTGTAACTATTTAATGTCTTGTATTTCCTGATTTTCATAGAATCCCAGACTGGTTTGGTTGGAAGAGACCTTAAAGCTTATCCAGGTCCAACCCCCTGCCATGGGCAGGGACACCTTTCACTAGAGCAGGTTTCTCCAAGCCCCATCCATTCATCAGTGCCAGCTCTCTTTGAGATGTAGATCCTTCAAATAGAAGGGGATTATTAGAGCTATTTGTGAATGTGCATTGCAGTATGTCTGCAACTGTTTTGTTTCTGGCCTTTGTAGGACTCCTGTGGGTAGAGGAAGAGCTTGGCTTCGCCTGGCTCTGATGCAGAAGAAGCTTTCTGAATACATGAAAGCCTTGATTAACAGAAAGGATCTTCTCAGGTGAGTGCTGAGCTCATCCTCAGATTAGGTTGTGTTCGCCTCTGTCCTCTTATAAGATCTTTATTATCTTCCACACCCAAATGGTAAACTATGTGTGTACTTTTTGTGAGAAACGTTAATATTTGTGAATTGCAGATCATCTTCCGGGGGATTAAAAAAGCTCAGTATTCTTTCTTAATTCAGAAGCTGTTAATTCTCCACTTTGTCTCAAATATTCATTAGAATAAACACAAGTTTTGGTTCCAAAGAGATTATTTAAGTGAAATATACATACAGAAGGAATACAGCATTCTCCGTCTGCAGTCTTGGCACTGGATATATTTCTGACCTTGTCACTCCATTACTGTCTGTATTGGAACAAGTAATTTCACTTCCCCATATCTCTGGTTCCTACTCATAAAATGGCAATAATTTTGTAGTTTAATTGAAAGCCCATGGATTTGAACTACTATGTCTGTGTATAGCAGTAGGATTTAATAAATACGTTGGGTACTCCTTGACTCAAACCAGTAGGGTGTTTGTTGGCTGTCCATGTAAAGCCATACCTGACTTGGGGTTAGAAAGGACAACTTGGTATTGTCCACTGGAAAATGTGGCAGTGGCTTGTGTTAATCACTGTAGTAATAGGGGAGTAGAAGGATGCTACTTAAGCTCTGATATTAAGCTCCAGTCTTAAATCTTCAGCGTGCTGTACCGTTACTCTACAACTGTGCTTACTTTCCACCACATTTCAGGGGTGAGGAACCAGGTCTCCTACTCACTGGGTCTTTGCCTTGCCTAAAAACTTAATCTGCTGAGAGAGGTATGTTCAGTCAGAGCAGGAGTGCGTTGACATAGAAGTACGTTCCTGCGTGGACAATGTGCCACAGCCTGGGTTTTTGTTACGGCTGAGCTTGCATTATATTGTGTATGAAACCGAAGGGATCCATCCCATGCTAATTGACTCATTTTAGTTGACTTTTAAAGATTCAACAGTTGTCTTCTCTTGCTGTGCATCATGCAGTGAATTTTATGAGCCTAATGCACTGATGATGGAAGAAGAAGGTGCGATCATTGCTGGTCTCCTAGTAGGTTTGAATGTCATCGATGCCAACTTCTGCATGAAGGGAGAAGACCTGGACTCTCAGGTATTTGGTATTCAGTTAATGTGGGGTTTTTTCTGCTCATTTAAATTGGAAGAATTTTGCATTGTAGAGGACTTTAATCAACTGAGATACAAGTTTGCTACTAAGTGCAATGCAAGACTAATACAAGCTTGTTAATGTGAGTGTGGTCTTTGGTTAGCTCGTGGCATTGAGATCAGAGACTCAAGGTTTTGGTTTGCTCTTTGCTGTTAATGCTTTGCCGTGGTCTGCACACAGGTCGCTGTGGAGTGAAATGTAGTAAATGAAAAAGGAGGTGAAAATGGGGAAGGACTTCGCTAAAATGAGGGGAGAAATGGATAGAACTATTAATTCACTCATGCTGTGTGATGGGATCATTGTAGCTGTTAGAAGAAGATCAGCCTGCATGCACTTATGTTCCAGCTTGCATAAGCAGTGTGCATATAGATAAGGTGATGAAAATGGCTTATTCTTGTGACCTAAGACTTGCAGCTTATCCTAGGATAGTTTTGCTTGAAATAAGCCATGTTTTCATTAATTTTGGATAGATAACTGGTATAATGAGTCCTTGCTGTAATACCTCATGTATTGATGTCCTAACTGAGTGACTCCAAACTTTCACAACTACAGACAGTGTTTAGTCTTAGAAAAAGTGTTTAATATTAAATGCAATTTTTTTCGTTTAGGTTGGGGTTATTGATTTCTCAATGTATTTGAAAGATGGGAACAGCACAAAAGGCAGTGAAGGGTAGGTACATACACAATTGTCCTGCTTCTTACCTCTTGGTAACTTGTATTCAAGTATTCCAGGTTGCCCTGTAAGCTGTTGGGTTTTTACTTAAAAAGCTACTTAGGCTGAATTGCTATTCTGTGATAAACCATAATATATTAATAAGATACTGGAAATGTTGAGAGGGGGCAGGGGAAAAGTAAATTCTCCTAGAAATTCTGTGGTGTTCCTTAACTGGAAATTGAAGAAAAAAATGTGTTAAGAGTGAGTTAGGACTGCCATTCTTCAAAGCCTTTTTGGTAAGCAGCTTAGTAGCCTTTGCCACTTGAATGGCTAGCAGGTAGGTGATTTTTGGCATTAGAATATCCTTAGGAAAAAAAACCAAATTCTCCAATTGGATAAGACTATAACTAATAATAGCCTAAAGTACTTGTGCCACCATACCCAAGTGGGCAGTGCAACTTTCAGAGGCAAGTGGTTGGAAAATACAGTGTGGGCACACTCACATACGGATCAGGTGTTGGGGTTTTCTAAGGTTTGTTAAGAGTACACCTTCCTTCTAAGGAAGTCCTTCTAGTTTAAATTCGGGTGTGTATTTAATAGTTATCCTTCAGGATCAGGTGTTTTGTTTGCATTTATTTTAGCTGTAGTTTTTAGAACATGCTTTTCTTTAGTTAAGATTTCCTGCTAGAGGTGCATGCAAAATGTGTTTGTTGGCAGTTGGATTTCGGTGAGATGACTACTGTCCAGTATCAGAGTAGTTCAGAACCTTTTTTTTTGGTCTTTGAAGTATTGGTGTGCTCTTTGAAATGCCGACTGCTTTAATCATTCTGGTTGGTGTGTCACCTCAGTGTCATCCAGGTGAGTGTAGCAGTTGCAGCTTCTAAGAAGTCAGGGGACAGTGACTGGTGATAAAGGCATAACCTGTATCTTGGCTTTGCTGTTTCGTGTACATCCTGTAGTCCATTGAGACCTAGGGTCTTGGTGCTATGCTGGAGAGATATATAGATGGCAACATTTCCACTTAGACCTTTAACTCTTAGTTCTTTGAATCCAAGTGATTGAGCTGAATGGTATTTCTTCTTTCCAGAGATGGTCAGATAACTGCTATTTTGGATCAGAAGAACTATGTAGAAGAGCTCAATAGGCATTTAAGGTAAGACATGATTTATTTATTCTTTATTATGTAGTGTAACAAGATAGAAACCAGGATTTTTAAAAAGCAGGGATTACTGAGGGCTTATTTTTCCTCTTCAACAGTGCTACGGTGAACAACCTGCAGGCCAAGGTGGATGCCTTAGAAAAATCCAACACTAAACTGACCGAGGAGGTAAGTGTAATAGGAAATAATTTGATGTTTTGGCCTTTTGGAATCAGGTTTAAAAAGGTAATGGAAGAGTTATTTTTGGATGTTTGATTACAAATGTAATGATGAGTATTTAACGATGAACTGGAATAACTGATCTGCTGAAGAATTACACTGGCTGTTGCTATGAAGTGTGAGATGGGAAATTAACTGAATGTCGATGTTAAAAAACCAAAAGCTGCTGAATACGCTTTATCCCTCTGAAGTCTTTAAGTGCTTTCTGATATTTGGAAAATACCTTAGAATAAATTGTATGGTACTTGTAGTTTCAAATGCCCTACAGCTAATGCAGGTTATGAGATGTCCAGCCATGACAAAGACATTTTTTTAATGTCTGTTTGTTTTGAAGGTGCAGAAATTTACTACAATGTAAAGATAGTAATTGAAATGTTTCAATAACTTTATCTAGCCTGTCACAATTTGCAAAAAATAACGGAAAAACATTGTTCAGTCTGAGCATGAGAAATGGTTGGTACCTGAGTCAGAGGTCTAACCTGTGTTTTAAAATTGGTCTTGCAGTTCATTTGTAATGGCATAAATGTAATAAAATCTTTTGGGGTCATTTTCCTGACAAATGGATGATGATAGGTCTCATCCTAATGGTTGTACAGTATCTCTGTCCCATTGTCACTTAGCTTAGCAGAATGACTTTGATTGGGATGTCTCTGCTCTTGCAGAACAAATAGGAAATAGAAATTCTTTTTTGCTTTTTCATCCTCATTGACAGGTCTGTGTGTCTGGTTATTGAATGTTTACTTTAATGGATGTATTCCAAACAATGAGAAGCTTTAGTGATGGAAATTACCGTATCCACTCGTGCAATTAAGGAATAAGAAATGCTTTTTACAATTAAAATATTTTTTTAGTTCTAAATACGTGGTCTGCAGTAGAGGCTGCCTTTCTCAGTGCTGCTGTAAGTGGGTTTTGATTTATCACCTGCAGAGTATGGGTGCTGTGGCCATTAGGGATGGTACCCATGAGAGTAATTTCAGTGCTGTCTGAAGTATTTTTTGATTTTTAATAATTTACTTGTTTGCATCTCAGTGAAGTCTGCACACTGTTCAAACTAAGAATATAAGTGACACTGGAACACACTGTGCCAAGCCAGGAGTGTTTGCAGGGTGTAGTTAATGAGCTGTGTCACATGTCACATCAATTTGTGCGTTTGGCTTGAGCTGTACCAAAGACTCAGGCTTTTATCAGAGTGATTTCTGTTTGGGTTGTTCACTTAATAACATGGCTGATCTTTTGGAATGTCACTGAGGTTTTCTAGTATGCAAGGCTTACGTAAGTTATGGTTTACAAAGCTAGGAGGAGTTTTCTGAAGTTATTTTGGCCTTTGAACACATGTTGTTAGTCTGCAGTGGCATCTTCATTGGGAATTCCTCTGAGGCAGATGTGCTGTCTCCTAAGGGTGGCCTCTGCTGCTGATCCTCCATTTCCAGTCAAATCTTCCTCCTCTGATGAGATTCTCAGTGTGCTTCTCCTGCCCAAATACTTGAGGATCTTACATCTCAGATGCTCTGCCTAGCAGTGTACCCAAACCACTGAAGCTTTAGCAAACCCACATGAGTATTTCTTCTTGGTAATAGATTACAGTTGCTAGAAGTCACAAAACTTAGCTGCTGTGTGCTCACATTTTTCCTTCTTGTTATCTTTGGTAAGGGAAGGGAATGGAGTGAGGGTTTCAGTTGAGTTGCACCAACCACGTGTTACACCGAGTCTAGCAGGTAGAGTCCTCAAGAAGTCAGTAACTTTACTGAAAGACAGGAACTAAAATAGGTCGGGAAGTCTCTGTTTTAGCTAATACTGAAAATCCATCACACTGGCACTAAGTGATGCTTTTGTTTTTTCCAATAGCCCATCTCCATTTTTAGAGGCCAAGTTGTCTTTAGCCACTCCAAATATTCTCTTTTCTCATTTGGAGTCAAAACAAAACAAACAAAAAAACACCACCAAAAAAAAAAAACAACCAAGAAACAAAAAAACCCACAAAAACCAAACCCCAAGAGTACAGAAGATGGGTCTAAAGAGGGGAAAAAAATGGTCAAGTATGTTTTTGATATGTTACTGTTGTTCTGTTTTGTTCACAGCTTGCAGTTGCAAACAACAGGATTATTACACTGCAAGAAGAGATGGAACGGGTTAAAGAAGAAAGCTCTTACATCTTAGAGTCCAGTCGTAAGGTTGGTGTGTGTGTGAAGGATTACTGACCCTTTGGGGCAGCCTCAGCCCAGATTGAACACTCAGTCCACGTTTGGAAGAGACTTTATGTATCTACACAAAAGCTGCAATAGATAAGAGTGACTGCAGGTGGATCCTCACAGAGGGTAACAGATGGATCCTGGCCACAGTACATCCTGCTTGGCCATAGCTGATGAAACCACGAGCATGTGCAGAGCTGAGAGCTCACACAGCATGTTCATGGCTTGCATGGCAAGGTGTCAGAAGGGATGGGAGGAAGAATAATCTACTGAGAGGCTCGCAGAACAATTCACATGTAGGAGTTGTGCTTTTTTCCTAAAGAGGGAAATGCAAGTTCTTGTCTGAAACACTACCCTCTTCAGAAATCAAGGGGCAGGATTTCTAGTAACTGTGTCAGAATCTGGTTTTAATTTTAAAGCCCCCAAGATCTTTTCCTGAGGATTCGTAACCATTCTTAATACACTGTGAAAGTTCTGAACACTGACACTGTCTGTTTAATTCATACCTATTGAAGTGCATGGAGCACTTGAGGAGAGAGGGAAGCGGAGTAAATTTCCATGGGAGCTGCATGCTGAATGGAGCTCCGAGTTTTGATAGTTGCAGAATTTGTTTTCCAAGTGGTGGGAAAAGCAAATAATTAGCAAATGTGAGGGTTAGTAGTATATAATGGCAAGTTAATTGGGTATCTTGATTAATTTAGGTCACTAAAGACAGAACTGCTGATGGACATGCACTGACTGAGGCACGAAAACAGTTAAAGGAGGAGACTCAGCTGCGGCTGGTAAGGGCTGTGTGAGCTGGGAGCTCATGATAAAATGGCTGTTTCACCTAGTAAGTCCCATGTCAGACAATCGCTGTTGACAATATTTGACCAGGGTTGTTTTTTTATTCTTACCTTCCTGCTTCAGCTTGATCTAAGACCATCTTGTCAGAAGCAGTGTTCATTTTGTGGCTCCATTGATCAGTTTCATGACTGTTTCTCAAAATGAGCAGTGCAGTTGCATTTCTGGGTCTGATACCTCCCCCTTGCCCCATCCCTGGCAGTGTTCAAGGCCAGGTTGGACGGGGCTTGGAGAAACCTGCTCTAGTGGAAGGTGTCCCTGCCCATGGCAGGGGATTGGAACTGGATGAGCTTTAAGGTCCCTTCCAACCCAAACCAGTCTGTGATTCTAGGAATATTGCCACTATCTGAACTGTGACTCCATATAGTATGTTCAGCTAGTGGGGAGAAAAATGCCTGAGCAGAATGCTTTTAGGAATTAAAGTTTTCCAGCTTGATGCTGCCCGATCTGTATGTTCTAGGATGTGGAGAAAGAGCTGGAGGCACAGATCGGGATGCGGCAGGAGATGGAGCTAGCCATGAAGATGCTGGAGAAAGATGTTTGTGAGAAGCAGGATGCGCTGGTGGCGCTCAGGCAGCAGCTGGATGATCTCAGGGCCCTAAAGCATGAACTGTCTTTCAAGCTGCAGGTAGGAAAATAATCAAATTCTGGATAAAAGTGATGGCTTTTCTTCTTTTTGCCCCTGTCTATTTAAAAGGTGCAGTGTGTCGAAGGGTTACAGGCTGGACAGCATACTTCTGTCTTGTTGCAAGAAAGCTCTAGTATTTGAACAACAGAATGTGGTGGAGGCTAAAGGAAAATGCAGTTTCTTCTGAAGAAAGACCCACAGTTATCCAGAAATATGTGTGTGTGACTGGGGAAAGTATCTTCTGTGGTTTTGTGGTATAAAAACTGAACCATGGTAGCTTCCGTTCTAGTACAATCCAGTATGGAAGGTGTATGGTGTAATTTATGTATATTACAGAGTAATGGAAAAGCTTTGTCATTACAAGTCATTACAAAGAGCAACACAAAATGCTCAGAAAGAAATCCCAAAATAAACTTTATAACAGGAAAGAGTTGCTTCTGCTCTCCTTGAGCCAGTCATTCTCTGCAAAGCAGTTGAATGATATTGGTAGGTACCACATTAATATGTATTGTACAGAAAGCTTCACTGATGATGGTATTGCCTTTTTTGTGGGGCCCAGATGTAGTCTGCACCTGCATGGCAAGATGTTTGTCCTTGCAGTATTGACCTGGCCTTTGCTTTTTGAGCATCTTTTCCCACCTTTTGGCTTCTATACCTTTTATTTCATGGGCCACATGATTTGTGGTGGTTTATTTTGGTTTTACTGCTACTTACAAAAGCCCCTCAATGCTACTTTTTGCAGAGTTCAGACATGGGAGTGAAACAGAAGAGCGAATTAAACAGCCGTTTGGAAGAAAAAACAAATCAGATGGCTGCCACCATCAAACAGCTTGAACAAAGGTAAAAAAAGAAGCTTGACAATTACAAAATCACATGTATATTCTAATGGTAATGTCCTGCAGACCCTGAATGGAAGTGCTCTGCTTAGCTGCTGCTAGACAGAGCTACATGAGGAGAGCTCTGAGTTTTGAGATGCTGTTAGGAGTGCTTTGCGTGCTCCAGAGGGCTTCCAGTAGAAAAGAATATGACTAAACCAGTAATGAACACAGCAGCTTTGTTTATCTACATCAGCTGCCCTGTTGTATGTTGTTAAGTCATTACAAGTCAATCACTATCTCTGATAGCACTGATAAAAAATAGAAATAGGAACTTAACTAAGTTTTTGACTGTTAATGACAGTATTAGAGAGGGAGGAGGAAGGAGGAGCAGCAGAAGCCAGGCTTGGAGGTACCTTGGTTATTCCACATCTCTGGTACTCTTTGGAAAAAATACCCCCAACTGAAGCATTCTCTTTGTGAGAAATCAGATTGATTTGAGAAGAAGCAATGCTCCTTCTTCTTTTTTGTCCTGTTCTTGAAGCCAAGCTTTGTAGAGCTTTGGCCAGAGGTTTAGAACTTTAGCCTCTGGAAATTTCTTTGACTGTTGTGCTAGCTCCGAGAGAAGCATAGCTCTCAGGAACATGTGTTGCCTGGGACTTAGTTAATGAGTAGGTCATTGCACTAAATTAATGTTCTCATTTTAGGGATTGTATTGTGAGTGGTTCTTCATAAAAAAGGTCATTTTGTTTATAGCAACTGTGTATTTTGAAATGTTTTATGGTACCTACTCAGCTAATTTATCTGCTCTCTTTCTCTTGCTGTTCTTATTTTTTCATTTTTTTCATCACCCTCATTCTGACTTACTTAAACAGTGAAAAGGATTTGGTGAAACAGGCAAAAACCTTAAATAGTGCAGCAAACAAACTGATCCAGAAGCATCATTAGACATTTTTATGTCTGGTCACCTCACAGCTCTGACATCAGAACTCCTTTATGAGGGGAGAACTTGCAAATTGCTAAAAGCAACTGTTAAAATGTTAATTGTCACCTAAAGTTGGTTTGGAATTTGCTGAATTTTTAAAATCAGTGAGGTTTTTTTCAAAGATTTAAAGTCGGGTATAAAAATCCCTAACTTTGCCCTTTAAACCATGTAAAAGTACCAATGAGTTGGCCAATGAACACACCAGGAAAGCATAAGGAATGGGAGATCTGTGGCTCTGTACACCCTGGTGATGCATACCATATACAGAAGCGCAAGTCTTCAACCGTTACGGATTCTAGGCGTGTTGGTCAAGCCACTGTCAGATTGGCCAGCTCTGAGAAGTCAAATAGTTTTCTGTGTTCCCCTTTCTGTGAAGTAGATGAAAAAATGCATCCCTGGAAGTTGTTGAAAGTAGTTGTGTGCGTAGCCCAAGCCGTTCCCTGTTCACTTCTGTTGTGTGGGTTCAGCCCCAAGTCCAAGACGCGATAGCTCATCACCGTGAAGACCAGCCCTCTTGTAACCAAGACTGCTTGCAACGATTTTGCCTTAGTGACTTGGTGGGAGGGTGGGGACTTATCCTTATTCCTTTAAACTTCATGTGTCCTGAATTAGTAGCTAGGTGTCTTAGAGTAACATGATAGAGTGGTAAGTTCAGTGGAAACCTCCTTATCTTTGCATTGCCTTCTACCTCTGCCATGAATCCCGCTAGACATGTGTTGAGGTTCTTCCCGACTGAAGGAAGCTGAGGAGAGGTGTTTTGGTAGGTCCTTCTTCTTCCTAGGAAGGGAAGTTACATGAAAAGATGTAAATCAGATCTTCTTATGCTAGAGTTTAAAAGAAACAAAAGCATAAAATAAAAATACAGGAAAGGAACCAAATGTGCAGTGTTGGGGAGCGGAAATGGTAATTTGGTACTTGACCATTCCTTGTCCAAGTAGCTAGTGGCTGAAAAGGAAGAGTTGCCTTTTACTGTCACACTTCTTTCATTTGCTTGGGGAGATTCTCTTGCTCAATACAGGTGGAACTTGCTAATGGAAGAACAGCTAAAGCTTGGGAATCAGCTCTTGATAGGAAAAGTAATTGCCAATTTAACACCCCAGTGCAAAACTTTAAGTAACTGTAGCTGGGACTGTTAGAAACTAATAATCCTCATTCCTGCGGCCACAGAAGTTCACCATACTGGCCTGCCACAGGACTTAGGTTATAAGTGCTCCTTGAGATTATTTTTTGCTTTCAAGAAGATCATATCTGGGGGGTTTCTGTGTTGAAGAAGGGTGTTCTGCTCTGGTGAGATTCCTGTAAAAATTCTTTGGTGCCAGTTCTCACTTTGTCCTGTGGGATAGTGCTCCTTGGGGCAGTAGGTGGCAGATGTGACTGAAACACAACTGGAGAAAGAATCCCTATTGATCCTCACTAGGTATGTTTAAAATCTGTGAGGCTCAGCCCAGTCCCACTGTACATAAGTGTGTACCATCACTTGGCTTATTTAATGGACTCCTGCACACAAGCAGACTTGGAGACTCCATTTGAAATCTCTTTGTGATGCCCAAGTCATGTGCTGGAAGTATAAAGTTAGCCTTTAGTAACCTTTTACTAGAAACTCATTTTAACTACCTGGAGAATAATAAAATAATAATGAAAAGGTGGAAGCTTTCATCAAGGTATCCAAGTAGCTGATTAGAACAGTTAACTCCCCTGCCCTTCCCCAGATTTATTCTGTAAAATTAAGGGGTTGTGCTGGGTTTGGTTGCTGTCACAGTAGTGCTAAAATAAGGCAGAATTAAGGATCTGGCCTTTTCTGATTCCCGGAGTGGAAATGCTTTGGTGTACTAATGCCTTGTGTCAGTCCATGGAAGAGACCAGGAAAATGCACTAATTCTCAATAGAGTAGCTAACCTATGTTGCAAGTTCCAGTTACATGTGTAGAGCTGAAATGTAACGTACATTAAAATCCAATTGGACTTAAAATTCTGTGTACTTGAGGTTTGCTTTGAATCTGGATAAAAGTGATGTTTTATGTTTTTCATCTAATGGCTGTAAACTGTAGTAATAGAATAAAAACTATTGAAAATCAGAGCTTCTGCCTGGTTCACCGACGTTTTATTTTTCTTTAAAATATTTTCCTCCTTCCCATCGTTTTTACCATTCTTTTTTTTTTTTTTTTTTTTTTTTTTGGCTTTACCTTTTCACTGGGTTTTTTTATTTGTTGGTTAAACTTGGTCTTCCTCCCCACCATGGCTTTTGTTTTTTATCACAAGTTCATGTGGCTCAAATCCAGATTGCGGCAGTCAGAGAAGGACCGTCAGTTGGCCGAGCAAGACAACCGCCTCTTCAAGCAGGAGTTTGGGGACAAAATCAACAGCCTTCAGCTCGAAGTGGAAGAGCTCTCCAGGCAGCGGTGAAGAGACCCTTTTCTAACCTCTTTTTTGGGCTGTTTGTAGTAGAAAGCAGGCAGAGTGACGGCAAAGAGAAGGGTGTGTTAGATGCCAGGCAGGCGTTAACCATGAGGAGGTGAAATGCTTTAAAATGACAAAGGGGAGATTTCTATGAGATATTAGAATAAGTTCTTCCCTGTAAGGGTGGTGAGACACTGCCACAGGTTTCCCATAGAAGCTGTGGCTGCCCCATCCCGGGCAGGGTTCAAGGCCAGGCTGGACGGGGCTTGGAGCAACCTGGTCTCATGGAAGGTGTCCCTGCCCATGGCAGGGGCTTGCAACTGAGTGAGCTTTAAGGTCGTATTTTCCCCTGCAGTGTCATCAGTTTACTAGTATTGGGAAAACAGGACAAATCCTCTTATCTTAAAATAGAAGAGCATCTCTCTTTCTGCAGCCATGACGCATCTTTGGTTTATTGCAAGGTTACTGGGATGAATTGTGGAAAAGCATTGCTGGGTGCTTTTGTTTTATTTTTATCCCCTGCTCCCCTCCCGGCACAGCTTTTTGTTTCCTTCTTTGGAAAGTTACAGAGGCTCCCCAGAAAACCAGCAAATGGCTTTTATCACAGATATGTGCGACATCCTGGGTGTGTGTGGGTGAGCTTAGCAGTGTTCTTGGTTATAAAGGGGGAATGCATCTTTTCTGCGTATGCAAACTGGTCTATTTTTGCATCAGCTGGACTTTCTCTCGAGCTAAATGGCAATGACGATATGAAAATGATTGAGCCTCCTTTACCTGGAGGCTGTACTGCTTTATTTAGCTGAGGTTCTACAGCAGGGAGATCCTGGAGGGTGCTGCAGTGGGATGTGGGCAGTCTTGCTTGAATTACATTCCTTTAAGAGGAGATGGGGGGCACTTTGTGGTAGTGTTGGTTGTAAATCAAGTTATAAACAAGAACTTCCTCAGTTGGTTTAAGTGTCAACATGGCCAAGTATTCATCTCTGGATCTAAGTCTCCACCAGCTTAACTCACTTCAGTTGGGCTATGGAATTAATGCAGCTGTAGTCATAACAAGTTATTTAAGTAACTGTCGGAGTGGTATGGAGATGAACAAGGGTAATAATGGATAATGTTGGTTTAAGTATCAATGAAGATTCTGAACATTCTATAGTACAAATCTTGCTGCTACTTTTACCAGCAGATATGCAGTTTCTAGGCTCTGATTTCAGAGCAGGGGTCATTCCCTATGACAGCTACTGCATTTCTCTCGGAATGATTTCAGAAAACAGCGTTTCTAGCGCTTTGGTCCCTTATGGTCCGTGTGCTCAGAGAGCTTTGTTGGTGTTCCACACAGGCAGGCTGCAGTCATGGGGTCTGTGAGCTTTCTGGTGGTCCAGAGTGAAGGCTTCTCTGTGATCTGGCAGTGTTCAAGGCCAGGTTGGACGGGGCTTGGAGCAACCTGGTCTAGTGGAAGGTGTCCATGCCCATGGCAGGGGGTTGGAACTGAATGAGCTTTAAGGTCACTTATAACCCAAACCAGGCTGTGATTCTATGATCCACAGCTAGATTTAGAGTTGTGCTCCTCTTGAGCCTGCTTCAGGCTGTGTCAGGGATGTCAGATGTCCTTGGCCACTGATGAGTTGTCCTTCCGAATATGAATGTACTGCACTCAGCCATGTTTTTCTTCCCTCTGGCTTGATGCACCACAGCATGTGCTGCATGGGACTGCTTTGGGAAATGGTTGAAGATGTTGGCTTTGGCTTCAGAGCATGTCCTGTAGCAGTTGATGTGCTGAAGAATGACTTTTTGAAAAGGGTGCAGTTCTCTAACAGGTGAAGAAGTAAGTATTGTTTCAGGACTTCCAGACACAGTCAAGAGATTTATTTTCCTCAAAATTGGAATTAGATGAAGAACATCTAGATTATGCATCCTGACATTTTATGGTTTAACACACTGTGAGACAAGTTGTTATTCAGAGGCAGTTTTCAGCTCTTGAGTTGAGGTTTGGTTGCTTCAATGTGAAGAGAGGGTTAAATAGTTCATTATGTTTCAATGTCAAGTGTTCAAAAAACATAACCTTTATTCACAATTCCACCTCAATATTCTAGGAGCCACCTGGAACTAGAACTGAAGCAAGAAAGGGACAGATGGTCACACAGTCACCAGCGCAGCCAAGAAAACAAAAAAGGCTCAAAGAATTGGCTCAGGCAGGTAAGATCTTGTATTCTTGGTTTGTGTTTGAAGTAGAGTTCCACTTTGCTCATTTGCTGTTCCTCAGCTTTGTTAGTCGATAAATATGTAGTATTAATATACCACAACAAAAGGAGCTTTGGAACATTTGTTTACACACACTAAATAGGCTGTCCCTGAGGTAAGCCTCACAAAAAAAAATTGCAAGAACACTGGTTTCCCCTTCCAAGCTGGGTACCTCGCTGTCCTGGTTTAAGCCCAGCCGGTAACTCAGAACCACGCAGCCGCTCACTCACTCCTCCCCTTCTTCCTCCCCCGGCTCCCAGAGGGGTGGGGAGGAGAATTGGAGGAATGTAACTCCCACAGGTTGAGATAAGAGCACTCCAGTAACTAAGGTATAATACAAACCACTACTGCTACCAATAATAATGATAAGGGAAATAACAAGAGGAGAGGACACAACCGCTCACCACCCGCCGACCGATACCCAGCCCGACCCGAGCAGCGATCTGGGCCTTCCGGGTAACTCCCCCCAGTTTCTATACTGGGCATGACGTGCTGTGGTATGGAATACCCCTTTGGCCAGTTTGGGTCAGGTGTCCTGTCCCTGCCTCCTCCCGGCCTCCCCTCCTCTCTGGCAAAGCATGAGACTGAGAAAGTCCTTGGTCAGAGTAAACATTACTGAGCAACAACTAAAAACATCGATGTTATCAGCACTGTTCCCAGGCTGAAAGTCAAAAACACAGCCCTGCACCAGCTACTAAGAAGGAGAAAAAATGACTGCTGTAGCTGAACCCAGGACACTGACAAAGTCTTGAGAGATGCTGTACACCTTACATCTGATGAAAAGCAAGCTTCCTTGCTTTTATTTTTTTGTATTATAAGGGAAATTCTTCCGAAAGAAAGGGAT